GGTAAAACGGCTCCCTTGTGCTGTGTTTGGGCGGGGGGGGGGGGGGGGGCTCTGCAACTTACCTGGCTGCTTCTTGCTCTGACTGAGGGATGCTGGGAGCAGGGGGTGGAGCTTGTTGCATGTGCCTGCCCCCTGGGCTCTTTACAGCCGGAACTCCGCTCCTGTGCGCTCCTGCAGGAAATGAACCCTGGAGAAGAGTGTGTCATACGATCTCTGTATGCAGAGCTGCCAATTTTAGACACAATAATAACCCAGCCTCTATCTGTTCACCTTTAAGCAACAGTAATCTATGAAAGACACTTACCGCAGATGAAGAATATTTGGTATTATGCATCTGTGGGGCACTCTGACAATTTTTGGAATCCCTGTTGTTCCCGATGTATGCAAAACATAGGCTAAGGAGTATTTCTTTCTGGCATCCAACAGCTCTTTGGATTGCTTTGTCTCAGTCTGGCCTAAAATATTTTCCTCCCAGCAATTTGTCACTGCAGGCCTTTCATTTTTATCATTTTCATGATCCATCAACAGATTTACATCAATACTACTGCTGTTCCTTTGGAAAAGAATTAAGCCAACGCTCTGTATTTCAAGGGAATTATGGCAGAACAAGTGTCCAAACGTGACTTTGAATTTCTGAAAGAGAATGAAAAGCTGTGTTATTAGGGTAGGTATTGTAGGTATTAGGGTTGCCAAGTCGTACCTCGTCCTGAAGCGGGGGACTCCCGGGTTGATCCTGGAGCGTGCGCACGTCACCAGGAAGTGATGCGAACACGCCGGGCACGCTGGGGGTGGGGCCATGACCATCCGAGGGAAAACCATAGAGTTTTCCCACGGATGACCGTGGTCCCGCCCCCAGCGTGCCCGGCGTGGTCACATCACTTCCTGGTGACGTGCACGTCGGGGTGGAGTCCTCCCCGGGGCCCGATCCGGCGGCGGGGGCGGGGGGGAATGGGCCCCCGGGGGGACTTGGCAAGCCTAGTAGGTATGCATTCTGTCAGAACACTGTAAGCCGCTTTGGTGAGAAAAGCAGAATACGTATACAAAAATAAATGAATAATCATTATAATTATTTCATTTCTAATTCTAGCTGATAAATTTTGCACATGGAGCAAATATTATTATGCATTGTCTATAAAGTTGACACTATAAAACACCAGACTTGAGATTCATAACTAAACAAATCAATATTTAAAACCAATATGGCAGCAATCCTAAACATGCTATCATGGGAATACCTCCCACTTAATATAGTGGGCCTTTCCTCAAAGTTAAAAAAAAAGTAAACATTGGATTGAGCAGTTTACTTGAGCAGTTTACTTGGAAAGTTCAATAAGCACAAGCTGCAAGCATTTCAGTTAAGACTGCACTTACATCAAGTATGACTTTCTCCACAAGGACATATCTGAAGTTGCACTTTTCCATAATGTAAGTAGACAGGGTTGGCAGAGCATCTGGATCAATAGGGGAATAAGCAGCTGGCACTTGGAGAATTCTAACGAAATAAAATATTTCACTTAGCAAAGTAACATTCTCATGAGCCAAACAGAGGTGAAGGCATTCAGATTCAGAATTCATAAATCCTCTTTATAGCTCAGTCGAGGGTTGACAACAACATTAAAAAAAACACACACACAACTTGCCCTTTGACAGAGGCTTAATGTGTTGAAACGGGCAGATGATGTTTATCATGGCATGGAGCGCAGGGCTCTTTTTGTAGAAAAAGCCCAGCAGGAACTCATTAGCATAATAGGCCACACCCAACAGCAGAAATCCATTAGCATATTGGGCCACACCCCTGACAGCACAGCTCATTAGCACATTAGGACGCACCCACGTTACCAGAAGTGTGGTTATCCAGCCACACCCACCTTTTGCTTGTTATTCTGTTTACCTTGTTTGTTGTCAAAACCCAGGGCTTTTTTTTGTAGCAGGAACTCCTTTGCATGTAAGGCCACACACCCCTAATGTAGCTAATCCTAATGAGTTTCTGCTGTTGGGTGTGGCCTATTATGCTAATGAGTTCCTGCTGGGCGTGGTCAACTTGGGAGCCAGCCAGAACTCCGTTCCTGTGCATTATTCCTGCCCAAAAATAGCCCTGCATGGAGGTAAATAACATCATCTCGTAAATAACTTCCCATTAAGTCTCTGTTAAAAGGGAAAGGACATTTCTTCTCCAGGTTGTTGGCAACCCTAGCTCAGTCTCACATTGATTCTGATGCAGTTGCAAGGCTGAAAGTACTCATTCATGTTTACTTGTGCCGCCAAATCCCTCCTACTTTCCTTCCCACAGAAAGCAAGAAAGGGGGGGGGAAGAGTGATTAACCTCTTCCTTGCAAATAATCTCGCCACCAAGCCACTCCCCCCCCCCGCAGGACTCCAAGCCACATGTTTACACAAACATGCCTTTTCATGCCCTACAAACTGAGGAAGGAAATGATACACAGCAGAGAAGTGGGAGGCAGGATCCTGGTCCATGAAATTAATAGAACACAACTACCAGAAGGAACAAAAGGGCCAGAGCTCTAAGGACAAACTGGATCTACTTAATCACTGAGCATGAACTCCACCTAGTGGAGTTTAAATAACTTTTTAAAAACCCAAATCGTTATTTTATAGGGATTTCCTTTAACCATAAAAAAGCCATATTAATATTGTGAATTAATAAATACATTTGGAAACTGTTTCAAAATTATAAAAAAACAAAAAAACAACCCACCCACCACTCAGGACAGGTTGTAAGACACACAAACTAACAGGCTAATATTTTAAAATATATTTTGACCTAAGCTTAACAAAATGGCTGGAATATGCAATTCACCTCTGAGCAATGTCACAAATATAATTTCGCGGCCGTACCCTATAATCCAAGAAGGCAGATTTATCCCTGGACAGCAGTAGAGGCCTATCACAAAATTTTCAGTGAGATTACACTTTCCCCTCAAAAAATCAGTCAGTTCTGTGGCTAGGGTGGTAACTGTCTTATATGTGTACGTGGCGGGAGTCTTATTGTTGCACTCATCAAAGCATACTGCTCTCCTCTCAGGATATAACCTGGCTGCTGTTCGAACAATCTGCTGAAGAGTCATCACCAATACGTGCACAGCGTACCTGAATAAATGAAAGTAACAATTAAAATGCATCAATCGATAGTTCCAAAAGACTGCAGCATACACCATATTCCGCAAATAAATTTAAAGGAAAATTAACAATAAACTCTTAATACATAGGAGAAAATATCATTCACAGAAATTTTCCATTCGGGGGGTATCAAACTGTCGTTAACGCAATTTGCACTCACCAATAATAACTTCTCAAGACAGGTCTCCTTCGATTAAGCAGGTTTTTATTGGATACAGCTTGCAAGCAGTGTGTGTCCCACCGCTCAGAGAGCACTAAGAACACACACCGAATTGGGTTCTGTGGCAGATATTTATCCCGGAGAGGTGTGAAAAATAAGAAACGCCTTCTCCGCCTCCCAGAACTGAGAGGCAGGAGTCACAGACTTCCAATCACCGATCGCCTAGTCACTTCTGCCTTTTATTTAGACAAACCCACTATTTTCCCAAAAAAGGGCATAATTCCTTTATGCCAAACATGGTATTAACTTTCTCTACTCTTTCCTAACATTTCTTCATAACCCACAACGGCCCACCACAAGTATCTTGAGACAGGTCTCCTCGTAAAGCATGGACCTTTAGACCGCAAGATGTCCTATTTCAGCAGGCCTGTCTTGGGCCATCATCTTTTCGACAGACTTGTTTACTAGAGTCAAATGTCAAGTTCCTCATTTTAGGCTGGTCAGCATTATGCATTTAAGGATATAAAAAAAGATATATATATATATATATATATAGAGAGAGAGAGAGAGAGAGCGCACAATAATTTCATTGCATGGTTTTAATCTATGACGATTCAATGGTTAATCACTTCCCTTGGATAGTTAGGTAGCTTTTTCTCACTACCCAGATTGCAGGATCTTCAAGGCTGCTACTTTAACAATTGACAGTTGTCTTGGCTACACTTCTGCTTTCTAATTAAGCCAGTTTCAGCATTCATTTTCTAGCAATACACTCTTAATTTCAATAGTTTTGCAAGGCTCTTCCGCTTCTACCGAGTGGGGATATTTGTGCAAGCTGGTTGCTGCTATGTGTCTGACTTCCCCATTTCTAACTCCTCTTCGCTCAGCTTCTTATTAAGCTTTAAATATTGATTTCAAACAAAATATTTCTAATGCAATTTTTAAAGCAAGGTTTTTAAGAGTATCTGACAGAAGTCTTTATTTTCATTTCTTACAAAACAAAAATAATTCTGTGGGGGAAAAACCTACAGAGGTATAATAAAACCAGTAACTAACACCTTTTGCAGAGTCAGTTCTTCTACCCTGGCCTACTTCTAATAATCCTGCTGGTTTTAACCCAATATTTATATATCAGGCAGGATTTGATTAAACATGTTTGATGTTTACATGTTTGATATTTACAGTGACAGGCTGATAGATTCAGGTGGGGCAGCCGTGCTGGTCTGAAACAACAGAACAAAGTTTGAGTCCAGTGGCACCTTTAAGGCCAACAAAGTTTAATTCTGGGTATAAGATTGTATGTGAAAGCACACTTCTTCAGATATGTTTTGACTGACACTCATAAATCATCTATAAGTTAAATTATATAGCCGTAATTACAATTTGTGAGAAAATGGGGAATGCCATTAGCCCAGAGAGGTTTTCTTTTTTCTCTAGAGAAAGGGAATTTTTTTCCCCTTTCATTAAAAGGATACCAGTTTTTAATTAATTTATCGTAAGGAAGGATACATAACTTTAAAATCAGGAATTCAGCACATTGATGAAAAATTAAAATAAATGTCAGTGGAGTTATTTTTTTTGAAACCCCCAAGAGGGTAATTTTATTGGTTTTCTTAATAGACTACATTGTTGGATACTGTAACTCAGGGGTCATTTCCTAGAAAAAGAGCTAGGGGAACTCATTAGCATAACTCATTAGCATATGCCACACACCCTGACATCACCGGAAGTGTGTCATAAGGCCACACCCCCTGACATCACCAGAAGTATGTCATAAGGCCACACCCACCACTCAGTTAGTCTTAGTCTTAAAGGTTAGTCTTAAAGGTGCTATTTGTTAGTCTTAAAGGTGCTATTTGAACTCTTGGACTATTTTGCAGCAACAGACTAACACAGCTAATTCCTCTGAATCTAAACCCACCACTCAGGCTCTACCCCCAAAATCTCCAAGGTATTGCCAACTCAGAGCTGGCGAGCCTATCTGATGGCACATGTGGGGGGAAACAAGCAAACCACCCATGTCAGGTAAAAAGGAGAGATACCAGGATACCAGGTCAATATATTTTTATTCTCCTTGACATTGATGGCTGAGGTGCTTTTTCATCGGCAAAAATAAAGATAAGAAAGTCTCAAATGTGACAGCAAACACCACAGACGCCCCTTTGAGTACAGATTCCCATGGGGTAGCAATTTAGCAAATAATAGCTAAAGAAGACTTATACTCTCTTTCTTCTGGTAGTGAGACCCAGGCCTGTATGCACGGGAGGCCACAAGTGCCCTTCCCAAACAACCATGCTCTCCTTTTCCTTCTCTACTTCCCCCCCTCAACACAGTTCAGCAAGTGAGGGAGGGAAGGGTTGGGTCAGGGAGGGGCGCATGCGAGAGAGGCTTGCTCAGCCAGCCAGGTGGACCAGCGGCTTGCTGCTTCTGAAGTCCAGCTGGCATAAGTCAGGAGATTGCCCATTCCTCTTCAATTGGGGAAAGTGATATGGCAAGGGAAAGGAGGCTAAGAAGTGGCAGGCTGGCTACCTGCTGTATGGAGAGGTGTGAGATGTTTGACAAGGTGCTGTCCCATTTGCCCCCTCCCCTGGGCCAAGCCATGGCCTTCTGCCCCCGTCAAAAAATGGCATTATTAAAAGACGTCCCCCCCCACCATACTTACAAAGCCACGGTAAGCGTAGGCTGTGATGCAAGATGCACATTAAACAAGTAGACAATCAGGATCAGATACTGAGGACATAAACAATAAAGTGAGACTCCAGCAGGGGCAGGATAGCAAGTCAACCTTCTCTGTTGGTCCTTTTACCCGGAGATGCCAGGGATTGAACCTGGGACCTTCTGCATGCCAAGCAGATGCTCTATCACTGAGCCACGGCCCCTCTCCAATACTTTGCAGCAACAGACTAACACAGCTAATTCCTCTGAATCTAAACCACCACTCAGGCTCCACCCCCAAAATCTCCAAGGTATTGCCAACTCAGAGCTGGCGAGCATATCTGATGGCACATGTGGGGGAAAACAAGCAAACCACCCATGTCAACCTTCTCTGTTGGTCCTTTTACCCGGAGATGCCAGGGATTGAACCTGGGACCTTCTGCATGCCAAGCAGATGCTCTATCATTGAGCCACGGCCCCTCTCCAATACACACACAGGGCCCAAGCATCATTTCTGTGAACTTGGTACAAGCATGATAGTTAACACCCCTTGCATCAAGGAAAGGCCTACTGTGCTGGAGGAGGGTGATACCATGAAAGGATCCAGCCCTATTCATCTGCCCAGTACCACCTGCTCAGGGGCCATCAGAAGGTCCACCTGCAGGGCCAGAACTCCAGGAGCCCTCCCACTCTTGCCCCGGGCCAGGCCCGTAGCTAACAACTTTTTGCTCAGGGGGCCCATGTTTTTCTCAGGGGGGGCCACCACCAAT